GCATCATATTAATTGGATTCATGCTTGCTATCTTACACACTGTATAGCAGCTAATTGACCGTCGTGTTTCGATTGACTTATTGTCATGATGTTGTTGCTGTTGGTTACGAATCGGCTTCCAGAAGTTTTGCTAGGATTCACTAGTCAGGGTCGTTATGTAATAACCACTATCTGCCAGTGTCGACATGTAACGATAAACTGGAATGAGTAACTCGCCGCTGCCCTCGTCAATGATGTTTATTTAGCTACTTCACATTATAACGCACGCTTATATAGGAGACAGGAAGAGAGAAAGATGAGTGTGGGTGTGGGTGTGGGTGTGGGATGTGGGTGGGTGTGTGGGTGTGGGTATGGGTGGGTGTGGGTGTGGGTGTGGGTGTGGGTGTGGGTGTGGGGGTGTGTGTGGGCTGTGGGTGGGTGTGTGNAATATCTCGATGACAATCTGCATCTATTTAAATTTATAAAAAAATTCTGTACTAAATTATTTTTTTCAATTATTGACATATTTTAATAAGTAATATAATACAACACGATGTGTTCCAAGTCATGTAACCAATCAGATTAAACATGTGTGCCTCTATAATGGTGCTTATATTTTCCCTTAAACGGTTGTGTCCCTTAAACGGTGCCCACAGATGTATCTAGAACAGTAGTAGCTGGCTGACAGTACAAGACCAGTAGAAGGTGGCGCCACTCTTTCTTATTTTTTAGCTGTTTAACTAAATGTTAACAAGATCTGAAATTTTAATCAAATACAGTACACGACAGGTCTAGCTTATGATAATAATTACAGGTCATCATCAAATTTATTTTAAAATTTAACAGCAAAAAGGAATAGCGTTACCTTGTATTGCCATTCCACTGCCAGCGACCTGCCGTTTTTTTAATTACGCTACTGCGCTCGAAATGTTTTTTCGACATTTTTCTATTCCACATTTGCCGATATGTTTCCTGTTAATATTGTTCGTTGCTTTTTTTTTTCCATCTATGCCACGTACTTAAAATTTTTACTACGATCGAAAATAAAGTGAGCGAATCTGTTGTCAGTTGCTGGAAGAAAGATTCAACCTCTTCGAGGCTAACCATACGTCGGCTCAATGATCGGGATGAAATGAATTGACGAATAGCAAAAATGAAGCGAAATGAGTCGAGTAGACAACACTCCCATACATTATTAGTGGGAGTTCTATGGGAGACAATCGCAAAAACACAGAACTCTTTTTAAAAATTTGAAAATAATCTATCTTACAGAGCTTTTTGTAATGTTTATTTTTGAAAAAGCATTTTATAAACTTCACCAACGAATAATGATGCTAGCGTCAAGCCACTGAACATGACAAGAACCTTCAGCGAAAACATGCTTTTCAGTATTTCGATAAAACATCGCCGTTTGTTGCTAAAATTTAAAAAAAAAACTCTCCGAGTTAGAGTATCTCAAAAGGAATTTGGGTAGGTTTTCATTTTCGAGACCGGAAAATCAAGATCTAGAGGCCAAATAAAGGGTGGGGTGTGGGTGTGGGTGTGGGTGTGGGTGGGTGGTGTGGATATAATCGTACTACTAAGAAATAAACACACACCCACACCCTTCTCGAGCTACAGCCATCACTACTGAATGAACAAAACTTAATTGAGTATGTCATGGTTGAGTTTGAGGATGAGGTTTATATTTATTTTCGGAGAACATTTTGTACGACGACTGATGACCATAGATGAGCACTATATGAACATACAAGATCAAGAAACAAATCAATCACATGCCGAACTTGTTCACATAAATATGGAATTAATGAATATGCAGCATATTTTGGTAAAAGTGTCATTTATTTCGTTCGTGTAAATATCAATTTTCGATATATCGACAACTGAGTGATATTTAAAAAAAACAACAACAAAAGTAATGATATTTGTTTTTTTTGTACCACATGCGATGCATATGTCTTACCAGGTGAAAAACAAAACGAAACTGTTAAGAAAGAAAAACTGATTGTTTTCTTTGTGCAAGTATTTCTCGTATTTTAATCTTTTCATAAAATATAATCGATAAATAGTCAATTCAATTATAAGTCTTTCTTTTCTCCTGAAAAATTGTAAAAATACATTATGAAGGCTGTATGATTGTTCAAAATCATGAAACGAATTATCTAGATATCATTGGATCTATGATAATAAATAATTCTATCGAAAAAGATATATAAATTTATACTTAGTCAGATTGTAGAAAATTGCTGATATAAGATAGAGATTAGAGTTTGAAAATGAATTATCTTAGAAATATTCTAATTAAATTAGATAAATCTTTATTATTCAAGAAAAATAATAAGAATGCTTTGAAAACTTATTAGAAGTAAAAAGTATAAAAATAATGGTCGATCATATGTATATAGACAAATACAAAAAATTATCATCTATCGTTCGAGATGTATTAACAATTCAATATAAAATAATAAACTTATTACTATCATTTTTACAAATGATATCTCGCAAAGAAAATATTAGCAGAATTGGTGTTAATTCGATTAGGTTTCCATCAGTTATTTGAGTTGTTAATTTGCCAAAAACATTTTAAATGTAGAAAATATTAAAATTATGTAACTCTTATCTTTTTTTGTTAGTAATTATTTAACATTGACTTACTGTCAGATTCATTTGAAACAAGTCCATGAGTAAGACAAATAAAAGTACAGGAAAGGAGAGCTAGAAAAGTCGAATTATATTGTATACTAATACTTTTTTATTATTTAATAAATAATTAATCAAATATATAGAAAATAAGTGTAATGGATTGTAATAAAACAAATGAATTACTTGTTATATGTAACACACTAATACTTATCGAATAAATCGTTCATTTATGATAATTACTACTATGAATTGATCTATTAATAATGAAGATAATAATTATTTATAAAAGAAATATTTATAACATATATCTCCTTATAAAATATTTGCTTTAGTTACACAAAAGATCAAAGAGTTCTTTCTTCTTGTACAAAAATATCTGTATGACTTTAATGCCTGATGATCAGATGATTAGAATTGATTGCATATAAATGCGAATACTTGCTAAAAGATAAAAATATAGAAGAAGAAGACTACTTTTGTATCTTTGTTTATGTAATGCTCTCGATATGTCTGTGCTATATCATAATTCATATAGGTGTAGTCTTTACTATTATAATTGAAAGTGTATTAAGAAACAAAACTAATAAAAAAATTAATATAACTGAGAGAGTAATAGACTTCCTTTAGATATTTCATTAATGAATATTTCTTCAGTGTATTCTGCCGTTGTCAACTAGCCGGTCAACAAAAATGTCAAGAAAAGTGAAAATTTTTATCTTAAGGAATCGACGGATAGTTATTTCATTAACGTTGATGTAGACTATATCCTTTTCCTGTGCTTGAAATTAGAAATCTAAGTCATCATTTGATTCGACTCGTTTTCCAAGCAGCTCTCATTAACACTGCAAGTTTTCTCGTTAGTTGCAATGCCATGGGCACGTGATGTTTTGTTGAATGTAGCGTTCATAAGTAGATTATAGTCCGAATTTCAAATAGAAATATTGTGCTGTTGATATCTACATAAACTCTTACTTGATACATAATCATTCGACTGCATTTGAATTTCCAATACGTATTCTTATCACAAATTTTGTCAATTGTACAGTTTTATCATCCAATATCAAAAGTGTTTTGTTCTCGACATTCTAACAATATTGATAGCGTGAACATCTTTGTAAGAAAATCAATGATGAGTTTTTGCATTGTGACATTTTGTGTTGATTTCGAATAAAATACCAAATTCAATCCATAATAAATCATCAACAATACATAAGAATTATAACAGATGAAAAATCATTATGTCCGATCAAGATGATCAGCCCCATATGTATATCCAAATATTTACGTACATAATTTGTCGTACATTAACACTGGTATTTCATTCCATGTCTTTGTCTTCTTTTTCATATAACTCTGTTTTTGGACTGTGCTTTCGAAACAGAATATATATTAATACGCATTATTTTTCATAAAAATGAAAAAAACGAAAGACGCTAAAGAAGGAAAATTGAAATGACTAGAATAAAAAAAAACAGAAAAAAAGAGGTGACTTGGAATGCCACTTAACATAATACTGATAAGATTATCGCTTTTCAATGTGATTCTTGTTGTTTAATTATATCTAAATATTACTCTTCATCCTTTCTCATGTTTCTTTGCTTTTATAAACTTCTTGCAACTGTGACAATAGAATGATCCATTTTGAGTATATTGTACAAATTAATTAAAACTTTTCAAGATTATGATATGGCTCATACACGATATTCAACTAATTATTGTTCTTTCCAATTAAACTATTTCTTATCATTTTAATGTCAGAAAATAACTTATAAAATTTTCAACTCTAGAATTTTTTCCTTTTACTTCTGTAAGGAAAATTAATATTATATAAACATTTGATTTCTTCGATAGAAAATCTTAATCTTTGCAAGAAATTATAGGTTTTGAATTGTAGAAGATCTAATTTTTAGTTTCAAACATATATCTTGATTTTATATATTTTAACATATAATATTTTATTTGCTGTTCAAGATTTTAAAACTTGACGAAGATTAATCAGTAATTATAAAAAGTTTGTTCAACATTTGAGAGATGACAAAAAAAATTGTTTTCATTATCATATATGAAATAATGTTGTTTCTGTTCGGCGTTAAATAACTATTAAATATATAAATCTTAAAATCAACTCTGCTAATACAACACTCATCATCAAGCAATTAATCACGAAAACCAATTATTATGATCTTATGAATGATTCTGCCATTCGAAATCTTATATATATATATGTAGCTGATTTGATTTTTACTTCGTTCAGCTGATGTTTTATTTTAGAATATTAAAACATACAAAACAAAATGACAATACGATAAATTGTGTTTAACATTTATGCTAGTTCTCCCTCTAGAAGATTATTCTAGTTATTTAAAGAATTACTCGAATCATATGTTATGGCTCACAATTGCATTTGATACTAAACGATGTAATATTTTCTTTTGAATTAATTGCTTAAGTTGACGTCTGAAAAATGATGATGAGAAAGTATAAAGAAAAAATGTTAAAGAGAATTCCAGATGAATAAACATATAACTCATATTATTGATAAATACTTCAACTGTTGTACGGAAAGATGATTTCGTTTCATTTATTGTTATTGTTTGATAAAGAAGGTCACTAGGATTAATAATGCTCAAAATAGTCCAAAGCAATATTTGACTAAATAACATTTTAGAATATTGTAAATCTTTTCCTGACATTCCAATAAATTCTGCAGGTCGAATACCATTAAGTTCTGCTATTGGTCTTGTTCTTCGTTTGCTTTGTCGAATATTTTTTAATGTGAGACATCCAAAAATAAGCATCACCAATGGTGGTAATGTTCCACTTTCAATTGATAGATAGATACTGAAGAAAATCCCATAAGCACCATGCCTATATGAGCAGATACCATCTTGAATTTCATAGAAGACAAGAATCTGACTGTACATCAAAGACCAAAATATAAAACTACCAATAATTAATCGCATAGCAACTTTTGATGAACTCCATCGACGCCAATAAATATTAGAACAACTAGCAAAATAACGATCTATCGATGCCAAAATAATATAATAACGTGGAACAGCAACAAAAAGATAGAAAAAATAATTGCGGATTTTGCAAAACCAAAGAAAAAGATTAATTGCTGTAATATTGAAACCATTGAGAAGTATTCTTGTGAGAAGAACAAAATTGAAAGTCATGAATTGTGAAGCACTGGAGGCTAGAAAATACATGATACATGGATTTTTGCGAAGCTTTCGTTGAGAAAAAATAAAGCAACTGATAGTTGATCCAACATTTCCCATAAGCCAGATAAGACTCATACCATACCTTGAAATATTCTGATTAAGAACAAAAACGAAATTACACCAATATATCTCATAATCATTAGAACCACAATTAGTAAGGTTTGGCATTGCAATAAATATATTTATAAAATGTCAGCAACAAGCAAATATGAAGCAAGTTGATGTAGAGGACTTTTTTTAGGTGCAATTAATATGATACCTTGTTTAAAAAGAGCATTTCTTTTTTATAGAAAGAAAATTAATTTAAATCAAATGACGTCAATTTACCATAGAAAAGATAAAGAACGTAATAAAGCATACAAGACGGAAGACACAAATTGCACCGCCGCCTTTCGGCAATTGACGAAAGTTCAATAAAAACACAACTTTTAGCAATGCCCCAAACATATGCATTAAGTCGTTAATCCGCTAATTAATTATGTTTGCAAGATCGCGTTTTTGGCAATATTATTAATCCAGCACTGTCAAGGGTCCAAAAAATGTCCACTTTACCTAAAGTCCTCTATGAATATGTGGGACTTTACATATCTTATGAAATGTCACGTATATCAGTAGTGATAGGAAGAGCAAAATATAAATGCTCCACTAGCGGATATTTCTATATTCCAGCGGACTTTTCTATTCTCTTCAGGACTTNATTTAGATAGAGTTACAGGTTCATCTGAAGGATTTTTAATCAATACAGATAAATATTTATTAGCTGATGCTGTTGTCGAAAGTGGAAGAACTCTTGAAGAAAATAATTTAGAAATATGGAAGGTTATTATACCACAAGGGCAAGTACATATTGCACTTTATGGACGATGTCATTAAACTTTCAACATGTTGAAAATTTATCATTAATAAAAACGCTTTATATGTATGTACCTACCTGATGCTAATCAATAAAAGCATAGATAAAGTTTAATTATCAATGCATTTTCTGATCTTTGCGAAATTAACATGTTTTATAGCTTTGCATTAACAAAGGAGATGAAGAAAATCTCTAATAGGTCAATAAGGTGATGAATGGCCAGCAATCATTTTCTAATAATTCATATGCTACAAACATTATTGCTGTAGTTTAAAAGATCTATAACTATGTTTAGAAGTGTTAGAATCTAAATTTGATCGAATTGAAAATGCTTTCTACAAAACAAATAATATCCGAGGTCTTCGCATATCTTCAGACTGGACTACTGAAACACATATGTGGTAAAGTATGCGGCCCGCGCCGGGTGTAGTTCACTTTCAAAAAGGAATCTATCGAGGTTTTTAGTCATATTATAATTTTTAACTCGATGAAATATGGCTAGATCATTTGAAGAATTTGGAATTTTTTGGTTGCTGTTCACAAGACGCTTTGGGTGAACCCGATACGATTCAAAAGGATTCAACTAGATCTCTTGCGGTAAGATATTTTGCACTAGAGACGCGTGGGACCAAGTTTTATTAGTCCCGGTGGCTCCTTTGAGTGTGGATATGGGTCCGGTTGATGTTAATGTCCATAATGTGCATGAGTGGAAATAAGACCAACTCCCACATCCACACCATTAACAGCTAGTAGACGTTCACTATTTGCTTCTGCTCAATCACCAGAAACGCGAACAAAGCTCTGGATATTTAAGTGGATTATCAAGAATTGCAAATCAAGCATGATACAGATACCGTGTATGTGTGTTTTGTGCGTGTTAAACATTATGCGATAACTCTCACCCTGAGGTTCGCTTTCCTATGCTGTTGAGCTTGGAATGCTATGGGTGAATGGTATCATGGCCTGGTTCCTGCTTATTTTGTTGCCCATAAAGCAAATCTCTTTTACTTCTGAATTTTATTTGCTTCTAGTGTACTTCGACATGCAAAGAAATTCGTTTGAGGAAAATTTATTTTAGTGGAATGTGAATGATCGCAGCGCTACTCCTAGCACAGATAAGAAGTTAGGTAACATCCAATATCAATAGTTTTTTTATTGATAAAAGTTCCTGCAAAGCTAAGATAGAAGAAGTATTTCGAAAGCTTAAGACGAAGTGTACATTTACCGCAGCAAAAAGCCTTTAGGCAGATATTTGACAGTTTTGGGATGTATTCCGAGAAATTAAAACAGATCGTAGCTTGATTTTTTACCGAAGTGAACGAACAGCTGTAGATAAGAAAGTTTTAAAAAGAAAATTATTAAAACCGACTAAATAGATCTTGGCTTAGAGTCGCTTTTCATTTTGGCCTCAACGAAACCTTTACGGTGCTTTTCCGTCAGATTGCTATATACCCAACATATCCTGCCTATCCAATATTTCCTACACTTCTTATATTTCCATTATCTTCTTTATCTCATGTGTTTCTCACACGTAAGTTTAATTAGTTTCCCAAGAAAGGTATAAAAAACATTTCATGATCATGTCTGCTACGGTCTGCCATGTCCATAATGGCCATCAAGTCCATGGCCACATTCTAAGGAAACTATCTGCATGATCTGAAAATTAAATCCGTTTTTGGAAATCGATCTAGTGTCCGAAAAATGAATTTGTTTCCGGAAAACTTATATAGCGCATCATGTAGTCGGAACGCTCATGGGATTCAAAAGCCCGGCTAAATTCAACTTTGCTGTGCACCTGTTTGCTCTGTGTGGCTGAAAAACATCGTTGTTAATCATATGATCTCCATTTTATGACTTTTAGATGTTAGAAAGTGATGAAACCAGCAGAAACGAAGAAAAATTATCTATCAATTGTTTAAAAGAACCATTGGCTTAGGCTGTTGTACAGCATCAGGAGAAAGAATACTGCTTATTTCTTTATATGAAACTTCATACTACTTTCTTCATATTCCACACCTAAATGTACCATTAGTCAAACTATTACTATCGTACGAAGCTTCAGTCAATGGAATGAACTACAGTCGTCATATACCATTGCATACATTTTCGCTAAACGAATAAAAACATTCTTCAAACGAACAAGTGAATGATATAAAAATAATTTTCGACTTACTTTTGCTGCTGCAGTACACTTTGATGCCATGAATGGCATTGTTACTTCAGAACAGTGTGCAACGAACAATAAGACCCAATGTGTAGGTGTGAGTACATTGATAACAAATGGTATTTTATTGAATCAGTTGAGGGTTTCGTGATTTTTAAGAAACCCGGAAAGGTTCCAATTTTTGAAATAAAATTCAAACGGTTTTAGATTTCGCAGGCAAAATTATGGATGCTTTGAAAATGCTTTTCCGACCACTCATAATCGTTTTGAGAGCATATTATGTTTCAGATGTTCGAGGAAGAATTGCTAGATATGGCATCTTATTTTTTTTTGCATTGCATGAGCCGATTATTAGTATATTGAAACTAGTGGAAAAATCACACTGAGGAGCCCTTTTTTTTGCAAAATGCAAAAGAGGAATCTGTATAGAACCCTAAAGGATTTCGATTTTATTCTAAAACTCGGTACCGTTTACAGATTCCGTATGGCAAATTTTTTCAGCGTAGCTGTTGATGGAATGCGGGTGTAAGTTTCTTCTACATTTGCAGCAACATTGACATCGGCACCCACACCCACACTCTTCACTTTAAAAATCAAATGATAATTGGCGCTAGGGGTGTCAGCGTTCCCCGTTCCTTAGCGTTCCGTTCCTAGGAACGGGGAACGCAACATAGATTTCTTTATAGCTTTCATTAAAAACAAAAAAAAATTTATGCTGCGTTCCCCGTTCCTAGGAACGGGGAACGGGGAACGCCGGACAACCAAGCATAAAAAGACAAGTGAACACATCTACAAACCTTGTCCTGTTAAAATTAAGCTGAAAATGAGATTTTGAGATGCGTTCCCCGTTCCCAGGAACGGAGAACGGGGTAGCGTTCCCAAGAACGGGGAACGCAGAACAACCAAGCATAAAAAGACCAGTGAACACATCCACAAGCCTTGTCCTATTAAAATAAAGCTGAAAATGCGATTTTGAGATGCGTTCCCGTTCCTAGGAACGGAACGCCAAACTGACACCCCTAATTGGCGCTAAATTACTATAGTACATCTGTGACTCATCAAATATTGTTCTCACTATACACAGGTTTTGGGTGGTCTTCTTTAGTGAAGGCCAAGTAATTTTTTCGAAAGTAGCGTGTCGTTTGTTTTACTAAGACGCTCCTTGTCGGTTGTTAAAAACATCTCCTGTCATCAGATCTAAGCAGTTGCGTAGCCAAGGGGGAGGCAAATAGGCAATTGTCCATTGTAATTTTTAAAAGTAGGGCTTTGCCCATTGAAATTTAAATTATTCAAAATTGTTCATATTCTTGCTGCTTTATACATCTATACAGATCTCTATATAAATCCAGATGAAGTATGGAAATTATGTACACAAGTGCATCATCGTAATCTTGATTTAGGTGTTTGAATTTGAAATATAAATCTTATAAATCGAGACATTAAAAATAGACTAAACAAACGTGCCTCAGGTTTAAGGTCTCTCCATTTCTCAAAGATCAATCTCAGTTCAGGAACATTCTAATACCATGACAGTTGGGGAATATGTTGCGACTGTAGTGGAGAAGCTATGGCAAAATTCTCTGCTCCATACCATGGCCTTTGTCAGAAATATTCACCAAACAAGGTTCAAAAGTAGCTGATTCAGCATCTCAAATTTCTCAGACCAGGCTCTTTATATATTTATTTAATTTTTCGTTGAAAGAGCATGTTAGGATGCAAGACATCAAGGCCTCATGTTTTTCGAATTCTCAGTTTTTGAACGGCAAGAAAGAGTCTCAAGCTTGATGAGTCAAAAACTCTCTAAAAACGGAGCTCAATTTATAAAAGTGACTGAATATATAATAGAAAAAGCGGAATTAAATAGAAGGACTATTGAGTCCCGCACGTTCCAACATGCTGTTTCGAACAATAAGCATGAAATGCATGCAGGGCGATCCAAAAGTAATCGAGCAGTCTTTGATTGCGAATAACTATTCATAGGAACAAGTTAAAGAGCTGCGATTATAATCGTTCAAAAGAAAAGAATAAGCTACATAGAATCTTGAATACCAGATTTTTATAATAACATTTCTCATGGTGTTTGGATAAGTTTTTTTTTATTTAGGCTTTTTTTAAATAGGTCTAGAAGGTGGATTTTTCATCAAAAAATCGGGAAAAGTCGTCTTTTCGTCAAGAATCTGCCGAAAACACGTAGTAAAATATTTAGAACTAATGATTTGCTAAATCTTTTTGACATCAAGCCTACACAGACTATTGAACTTTAGTTAACGATCCTGGTGCACTATGAAAAATTAAAATTCTAACTTTCACATTACACAATAATTTGCATTACAAAAATTGTCTGGCGACTACGAGTGAGTATTGTCATAAAAATCTGGTATTGAAGATTCGGTGCAGGTTTTTGCNTTCCTCTTTTGAACGATGAAAATCGTCGTTCTCTATCTTGTTTCTATTAAGAGTTATTCTCAATAAAAGACTTCGATTATTTTTCAATTCCAGCAAAGAGCAGCTTATTTTTCAACGAGGCGGCGGCTGAAAACGTCAATAATTTTTTCTAAAAAACGATCTGCCAAATAAAAAGCTATCGCTTTTGAAATGGCAGACTTCCGCCTATCTTCTCGTACTTGTATCTAAGCGTTCATATTTTTGACGAAAATTGACTATTTCTCAGGGGATCGGGCTCAAGATCTGAGTTTTATGCATATTTCATTAAAAGAACCTCACTTTAGTTTTCGTGTTTTTTTTACGTTATCANATGTTTGAAAATATTGACATATGGATGCTGCCATGTACTGTTATTCATCTTGAGCGTATTTTTTTTTAAGATTAAAGATTGTCTTTTGTCTTTTATAATCCACCATGAGTAATGCACTATGGAAAAGAGGTCACCTAGCAAGTCATAATCACAAGAGTGACATCTAGGATTTAAACTATAGAGGGATCATTAGACAATGTTACATTATATTTGAAATAATTAGAGAACTGCAAAATCACTTTTTTTAGTCTCGGTCCCGGTCCCGGTCTTTAGCATTGGCTTCATTCCTAAAATCGAACAATTTTCTTACGATCTATGTACTTTTATGAATACATAAAACTAACATGAATGATTTTGATTCGTTAATAGTACAAGAATTCTTTTATATCCAGTGTTAAAGTAAAAGAATTTCATTGAAAACTCGAATCAATAAAAATAACCATTGAATTTTGTTAAAAATTCTCATGCACTTCGTAGGAGTCATTTACTCATTTCTCTCTTCTTTTATATCTACTGCTCTAGCTAATGGATTTATCATCGAATAGATTATTTATACTGAATCGTCATTACTATTGTCAAAAAAATAAAATAAATGCCGACACATTGCATAAAAAACTGGCCGGGACCAGTATGAAAAGTTTTAGTCCCGGTCCCGGTCCCGGCGGAACCGGGACCACTTTGCAGTTCCCTAGAAATAATATGCTGAACAATAAACAAAAAAAAATGAATTGTATGATATATAAGAAATTGGATTGTCTTTTATTCGATTATAATTAACAATTAAATTTTAAAATAGAAGATTTATAGTTATTTGATGTCATTTAGTGTATTCATGATACCTAGACATTGCGAAAAAAGAAATACTTTCATTTAAATAGAAATAATAAATCTCTCCCCACAATCGAAAAGCCTCTGTATTAGAAGATCATTTTATAATAAAAGATTCTCCTCAATTATTTTATTTCCGCAAAAGAATTCGAACTTAAATTAGTAAATTTTCATCAAATTATATGTAGCTTATAAAATTATTGCGATGAAAAGTGTAAAATGACTATGATGAATGCTATTTCTTAATTTTTAAAACTTTGACAACTACTTTCTGAATTCTAAACATTGTTTGGACTTTTTGAAAAACATATTAAATTAAAATTATGGAAATGAATGAGATACAATAGAAGACTTGGGATCTTTTACGATGGAGAGAGCTATACTCGAAAAATCAATCTAAAATAATATAAATATGTGAATGAAATATTTTTTTCAACGAGATATCTGTAAATATTCAGTTCTAATCAATCCATACTCTTTCCAAAATTTGTATAAATTCAAATGACACATATAACTTGTTTCAAAATTTTTCCTCTAGTAATTCAAAACTTGGAAGGTTCCTCAATTCACCAAAAGACATTAGTTTCGATAATAAATGAACCAAAAACTACGATGGTACACTAGATTTTCAATATTTAGATATATTTTCATAGTTGTATGCTGCTAGTGATTGATATAACTTTTTCTATAGAATAAAATCTTTTGTGATATTTTTATATCGAAATAGTAAATCAGAAATTAGTAGCAACTGAGAGTTTCTGCAATTCGATTAGAAGTAGTCCAGAAAAAAATGAACTTAAAATTTCGAGATGAATAATCTTCATTTTAGACGGAATTTAATGCATGATGTTTGCCTAACTGTTCACGGTCATCATAAATTCATTCAGCATAATTTGAGACTCTTATTGTACGATGGGAACCCGTGATCTCAACATTTTGAGTCGGAATTTTGATAAAAACAAGAAAAATAGACTAGCTTCAATGCTCTAAATATTGGGAAAAAAAACACCGATCAAAACTGATCAGTTTTAAAGATTATATAATTAATGGAATGCAACCTCATCTTGAGCATTCGAAGATTCAACAGTAACTAAATAAGATTGTAAGAGTAACTATGGAGAAATGTTTTTCTTACTATGAATGAAAAATTAGATTAAATTAAAATACATGATAAACATTATTATCAAGCCTTTGTCAGACTTTAATAAGAGAACATTTTCATAATGGACGATATTTTCTCGAAGAACTATAACAATAAGAACCATTTCTCAGAGATATTTACTCTAAACGATATCTTTTCTAGATTGAATAGTCGGTGATATTAGGGAAAAGATATTTTACACTGTTGTTCACTCTTATTACTATTAAAAACATCAGAAAAAAATTGTTTCTTTCTATTATTTTATCACTTAATGCATGATGAACAAAGCACTTTATATTTCTATGTACTAGATTATTTTCCGTTGTTCATATCCAATATCGTGATATTTGGTATCCACCGTTCTCTTGACTTTTTCTAACATTTGCCATAGATAAATAAATATAACGACAGAGTTTTCTTAATGATCATATTATTGTTAGTGATTATCAATCGATAACTTGATAAATAGATCATAGTCCATTTATTAGTAAAATGTGAATATTGTCCTAAATGTCTAAATAAGTATTAGCAATTGAGAGATTCTATGTATTGAACCATTCTTAGAATCATTCATTCATATTCAAAACATTACAAATGTACTAATAGTATAAAAGTACATTGAACTCTGCATAATAGTAACACATGAATAATGTGTACAGTTCATTTTTCTTGCATTCTGTCCCATAGTCATAGTTATCCATTGAGATGTGACAAAATTGACATCACTTTCTGAAAATGAAGAAAAAAAAAACACATGATCAGACAATTATGCAATCACCCATTATCTTTGCAACACAACATGCGAATAACAAGTCATAGATAAACAAGTATGGTTTTAGTTGTTTGATGTAGAATGGCCAGTGAACGCGTTTACGTCATGAAAATACAAATTATGGCGCTGTATTTCATGGATTGATGTATCTCAGCATAGTTCCATTCATCATAAAGGGTTCAATTTCCGCCGGAAAATATGCACAGAAGCGACAAGAAAAAAGTCATTACACAAATATATTACGATGAAAAGTTTTACGTATCATGTGAGATTTGAAATGGATTGAATATAATCATTAGCTTTATAACTGATAACAGTAAGAACAAGCACAAGCAAAGCACGGTAGTAGTTTGTAATATTCTTTGATCATAAAAACATTGTTTCGTTTGTTGTAGTATTTAGATCGGGCAATCTTATTCATGTTTTTATGACAGAAACAAAGTTATTTTAGTTCTATACGAACGACCTACCGGAAACAATTACTTATTACAACTCTGTATTGCTTTTGCAATGGCCGGTTTCACGATTTGACTCCTGATAGTTGAATCTTTCTTTATTGTAAATGCTAAGAATCTATTCATCCAATCAAGTGCCTCAGAATCTATGGAAAATTTCAACAGTATAAGTTATGAAGTACAAACTCAAACTTAAAAAACCATAATGTTTTTTTTTTATAGACTTATTCTTTTTCGAAAATCTCGATTCTTGTAGATTAAATAGTTATAATAAACTGCGGTGTACTTCGACTAAAATACTTGTCATCGTTCTTTTCTTTTGGTATTTTCTTTCATAAATAGATCTTCTTCAACAACAACAGAAAGCTATCGTATACAGCCATTTCTGGCCGAAATCATTGACATGAATTTCATTATCTTTATTCTCACCAATCATCATCAATGAAATAATTGGATGACGATATTCTATTCACCTTCACCCACACCGACACATTCATGCATACATTCCATCATTACAACATCGATTAGAATATTCCATAAAGCTCGAGTATAGACATAAGGATACATATGATTACAACATTCTAAACACTATGCTATCTAAAAGTGAAGAAATCGAACAACACAACAGTAATACATGACTATAGATAATAAATTGCCAACAATGCTTATGATCGTGCATTTAAGATTTGTTCAGCCATCTTGGTTCCTTGAATTCTTGCTTTGATTTTCTCATAACACACTTCTCTCGATGTGGATGTGTCATCGGCAAACGGGCTGTAGCCACAATCATCAGTCGTACCAAGTTGTTCGATGGGAATAAATTGTGCTGCTTCTAATATTTGATCTCGAACCATTTCAGCTGTTTCAATTGCCGGATTAATGGGATCAATAACGCCGATGAAAATACGATGATTTGGTTTCATATGCTTTTGAATACATTTCAATACTTTGATACGATTTTTTTCAGACGATAATTGAAGATAAAAATTGGTTAAATTTAATCGAAATAAATCGGGCAGCATGAGAGTATAATCAATATCGAATGAATGCTGTAAAGAACAAAACAAAGATGAAGCATTTAGTTACTTGACTCATCTTTCGAAACATATCAAACCATTTTTGATTTGTTCATATTCAGTTTCTTGAAAAATTTGGCTCATTTTTATCATAGGTATCACTTGAAAATGATCAGCAGGAGAATCTCGGCTTTTTTTGGGAGAGGGGGGGGGATTTATCAGTAAAAGACTCACACAACAATCTAAATCACCACCGGGACAAACATGTACACCAATTTTCTTCTGCTCATTCACATTGAATCGTTCTAGAACTCGATTATTGATCGCAATAAAATCTTTGAGTAATCGACCACTTGGATCAACTTTTAATGATAATCGAGCTTCTGTAAAATCAAGTTGAACAACATGTGCTCCACATTCTAAAACATATTTAGTAAAAAGAATAGTATACCAAACACAGCATACCGAGACACCGTCGAATATCCCTTTCACATTCATCCGTTAAATCCTTGAGAAATTCCTCGTGTGAATAATTGTCAATGTTACCACATTTTAGTAGATGCGGTGAATAGACCATGGACAGTGCCGATGCTGTAATAACAGCTTGTTTGATCGGTTTGTTGGTCAACCGTTTAGCTTCTTCCAAATATTTGTAGGCATATGTAGCATATTTGAAAGGTGCTTTGATAAGACGTGGTAGGGTTCGTACATGACCTATGAAGATACTTTCATGTAAGAAAGTACAAAGCGATCGTATTCGAAATGAAAATCAAGAGCATTTCGGTAAGTTTTTCGAGTACAAAAAGTAAAAACTAATATTTTACACCTGACATAAAGAAAGTTCATATGCTCTACTCAATTCTACGTGCAAAATAATCTAAAACTCCTTTTCATTGCTGACTATTGGACATTGATTGCTTTTCTAATTCATCGATTTGTTCACATACCGTCACTAAATGTTATTTGAAAACATTGTTTATCAAATGTATATCGTTCAAAAACGAGATCATAAATTGGATAAGTCAGAAATGAAGGTTTTGTTTGTTCACCATCTGTCAAAATCATCGATCCAGTCAGTTGATCTAATTCGACAACTGTTTGCTCCACTGCTTTTTTTTCTATTTTACGTAAATCTTCAATGGTTATTAAATCACTTTCATATCGAAGACGAGCTTCAAGTAATTCATTCGTACGTGGAATCGAACCAATCAATTCACTTGGTATCGAAATCTAGACAGAAAAACATTGTGAATTCAATTGCAAATTCATCACTGTTCACTTACCCATTGCCGTGCTACACTCGATGCCATTTTCAATGTTACCAACTTCTAAAAACAAAAGCTAGAAATATAATTGTGACAATGCTGTCATTATTTTTTTCTAACAATGCGCACACATATATAAGTAATTTGTATCTTTTTTCCACATCCATACATTAATGAATGTAGAAAGACTTGCTTGAAAATTACTTATTTCCTATTTATGATGATGTGAACTGTTGTATCGTTTTACGTTTATGACGGCGTATTACTTAGTGTGTCTCCATCCATTCTATCGTTCTCTAGAGAAAAATCATGGTGAGCTCAGCTGCAAAAAAATAAAATTAATAAATTTCTTTATCTCGGTATAGTATCTTTCTGCTAGCTTAAAAGATGCATCATCTACTCATTTATCATCGTATCTTATCAAAAGAGATATCTCATAATTACGCAATCTACTTAAATGAATCCGTAGCTATTTTAAAGGTTTTTTTTTAATATTCATTTTTCTCGCTCAATTTGCTATTCAAGATACAGCACTTTAATAATAAAGTGTGCGTCAAAAAGCTGGCCCCATTTTTTTCCTTTCAGTCGTGTATTAAAACTACACAACATTAATTTAATTCAATTATATGTTTGAATAGCAGAGATCGAGTACTATATATATACACCTGTTCAATTCGAAAAACTCTTGAATATGAAATAAAATAAGAAAAAAAAACCTCAATACTAACAAAAAAATGACATAAAAAACTACAAAATGATAATAAAAATATTTGAAAGACTTTTCTTTGTGCAATAGAAACTTGTTTATGCGTCTTTTATAGAGCTTTCGACGGCGCATCTTTTGAAAAAAAGCAAGATGCTATTGTTTCTTAAGCTGAGATACACGCAACACATAAAAGTCTTCGAAACATTTTTATTATGTGAAAAACGGTGGGGAGTAGCACTACCATGCATTTTCTTTTCATTGTGAATATGGAAGAAACCATCAAAAGAAGTCAATAGGGTTTATTCTTACAGTTTTTGTAGAGCTCTTCACGATGCATTTTTTTAAAGAAAAAACAAGATTTTATCATTTGTCTATGCAGAATTATTCGCTAAACAAACTATGTTCCAAACATTTTGGAACACCCGGTATTTCACAGTATTTTATATTTTGACTTTAATACCGTCATTTCTCAATGAAATTCAAAATGTTTTTTTTTACCAAAATGATCAACAAAAAAAGCTCTACAAATTCAGATAAAATGAAAAGTTTTTTGAATACTTTTTGTTTTTCGTGGTTGATTGACCATGGAAGCATCGTATAACAACAATATCATTTTGTAGTTTTTCATGTCATTTTTTTCTTAGTTCTGATGTTTTTTGTTTTTCTTATTGTATTTCATTTTGAAGAGTTTTTCGAATGGAACAGGTGTATATATATATATAGTACTCGATCTCCGCTATCCAAAAATATAATTGAATTAAATTAACGTTGTATAGTTTTAATACACGACTGAAAGGAAAAAAATGGGACTAAACTTTTGACGTGAACTATATTATGATTCCCATTGAATTCAACCAACTATTTATATCATCATAGCCATTTCAACACTTATCAAAATTCAAATAGCTTCAGATATTAAATAGCAATATCATCAAGATATTAGTATTCAATACCACAACTTCTTGCTGGAAAAACATCACAAACGTTAAATGAATTGTAGGCAATTCTTTAAATAACTACGAAGATTTAAGTAGTTATGCAAATATTTATATAAACATACGATGTAAAAGTAATGACACAAAATGCCGACTCCCTATTTCTCTTCTTTCGAACTGTATATTGTTTATTTTTGTCAAATTGCAAGAAAAGAAAGAGGTGCATCCTAAAAATGATTTAGAACTTTTCATTAAAGCTGACATTTTATCTTTATTTTACTGTGAAAAAGTAAAGCGAACTGAAACAATTTTATCTCTACTTTACAGGAAAAGTAAGGTGAAGTAAACTCATGAAAAAAAATTTGTACAAAACAGTGTTTCAACAAACTTTTAGAAAAAAAATGATATCTTTGTGTTTAAATGCATCGTCTTTGTTTGCAACGCATGTAAATTCATCTTTTTTTTTTGAAATATTTGCGATGTGCTTGAATGCGTTCTTTGTTATTTACTACTCATTTTTCCAACTTAAAACACCATCCCAAAGCATCGCTTGAACGCATTTTTTGTCATTCGTCTGAATGAGTTTTTCAGATCATGTAAAAAATAAGATTAAAAATATGATTAAAATCAGACTATAATAGTACCATTATAATCGATTTTTAATCTTTTCTTATAACCGGCTTTTTTTACAGGAGTGACGCGCTTTTGCTAAAAACATGATTTTTTTACAAACGCGCTTAAAAGCTTTTCTTTCAACGTACTTTTTTTTTTACTGAAAATTGGATTCCCTTATAAACGTGTTTGTCTCCGTTTTCTAATGCGATTTTTTTTTTTTATTAAAAAATTGAGATTTTCTCAAACACCCGAGAACGCATTTTTTTAATGTCCTTTTTCTAGAAAAAAGGAGCTATTTCACAAGCAGCAAGCTAAAAAAATAATGAAATTTGTACTTTGAGTAAAAATGTCGTTATATGACACAAGGATCTGCTACTATCTCGAGGAACATTTTACGATATCATAGTCGAAAAAAAATCTCTTAAAAACAGCTGTTTTAAAGATAAACTTTGACTTTAGCAGACCAGAATGCATTTGAATATTACGAAAGAAAGAAATAGTTGTGTAACAAAAAGAACAAACTCAGATGAATTCGACCAAGTTTTATTTATTTAAAAAGATTTCTTGAACAAGTTGAAAAAGTTGTAGATAAAATGCTACTCTGAGATTCCAATTCTGTTAAATTATTTTATGTTATCGACTAGTCATCAGATTCTCTTTTAAAACATTGGCAAACACAGCGATGTGTGTGTAATCTGAAAAAATTTGATTTTCGAGTCATTTCAAGAAGTTATATGTAAAAACAAATACTGTATGCTTGTTTATTGTTTTTGCAGTGCTCATCTCAAATTTTTGCCGCATTTCTTATTTTTGTTGTTGATTTTCTCTAGAGACTGCCTAAAAATGTTAGTTGTTTATGTTTCTAAGAAAAATTAGAACATGTATTCAAGCTGTAATTTGATAAATAATGCATTTAAGCACACACAACAGTCACGATCTTTTATTTTTATTGTCTCTTTTTTTCGTCTATTTATATTCGATTGTACATTTTCCTTCCATCAAAAATCATTAGATGGTTTGTATAAATATTTATCTAGTTGTCTTTTTTCTCGTGTTTTTTTTTTATCTCTGACTGATCACTTGATAGTGTCACAAAGAACTTGAGTCGAAAAAAAACAAACATATACGCAGTATTATCATCGGATAAATATTTTTATAAAGATCTTTGCTTGCTGTTTTTCTGTTTCTGAATTAAAGAGTTCTTTTGAGTGGGTTTAATCGTTTCTTTAAAATTTTCAAATTTATATGATAGATAATGGCGCTAATAGAAACAAAGAATACACATACATGTATTTGTGCGATATATTGCTTTATCCAGAACTATTCAAGTTCATCAATAGAAAAAAAATCATAACGTACTCAAGAACTCAAAATAAAAATTCATGACTTTTATTAAATACATCAATTTTTTATGTCAGTTTCGTCACATAGAATGTCAGGCTTTCAGGATTTGTCATATAAACGTCATCACACAATTTCAATTTTTTAAGTCCTTGAGCATTAGTTTAATAGAAATCTGAGTTGAAACAAACTCATAATTATCTTCAAAATATCTAATTTCGTTGATAGTTCTACTGCCATAGTGATCATAATTCTCTATTCGTTTATTAATCATACTTATTTTATTATATTTATACCATTTTATTGCACATTTATTAGTAATATCTTTGTTAAAGTTCTAAAGATTTTAAGAAAGGTATATCGTAATCAGTGCAACAAAAACCGGAGCATTGCTGACATACAAATGGTCCTTCTTTGATACTTAAACCTATTTTTTTAGACTGCATTCGACTTTAGCAGTGCTCACTACGATAATATCATTCTTAAAATCTTGAGAACTTCTGACCAAGAAGTTACTGAGAAATGTGCAATAAATACCAGCTTTTGACCTGAAAGTTCATTAGAATTCTAATTAGGTTCATCGAAAACAGATTCATGTGAGGTAGAGTTTCTTACTCTATCAAAATCTATAAGAATATCTTAGATATTCAATTTTTTTTTCATTGATAAATGCCAAATATCGCTCCGATGGGGTCATATTGTTCCTAATAATGAATTTTTCCAGCGTTATGAAATTATAGTTCCTATGAATGCACCAAGAAGATTCTTTAATCAAATATAATTCAATGTTTAGTAAAGCACTTTTGTTCTAACCGCGACACATGAGAAACAATTTATGTTTCTTTTAAGTAATATTCGATAGTTTTCGAGCAGAAGAACTCCGTTTGACGTCAAAAAAGTGTAATATTTAAAATCAGTACAAAAAGTTGAGCTGACTTAAATAAATTTCATATTGCTTCTCTGACTTTGTTTTCGGTCAAATTTTAATCGCTAGTCTATCTCATGGATGTAGGAGGAAAAGATGAGTTTCATCAAAAAAGCATTTAGATAGCATAAACGTAGTTCGAAACTTTTGAATTGCAATTTAAAGATCAAAGTAGAAGTGTCTGGTTATATGAAGAGTTGTTTTGATGAAATACACTTTTCAATATATTCCTGAGTGGAGCCGGATGTCGAAATTTGATCGAAAAACGAATCCCGGATACAATTTGAATGTCTCAGATACTCTTATAGATTCTGATAGTAAAAGAAATTCTGCATCAAATGAATCTATTTTCTACAAACCTAACGAGGATATTAACGGACTTTCAGGTCAAAAACTGATTTTTAAGACTTTCAAAAAAGTGTTTCAGATCTTTATTATTATTTGAATACTTTTGAAAACAAAAAGTGAAATATTTGTAATTAGGTCACTTAGTACTATCGAACTATAACGACTTGTAATAGAA